CAGCACCCCCAGGCTCCGCACGCGCAGGCTCAGCACCCCCAGACGCAGCACCTCCAGACGCAGCACCCCCAGGCTCCTCACGCTCAGCGCCCCCAGACTCAGCACCCCCAAGCTCCGCACCCCCAGGGACAGCACCACTCGCAGCAGGACCGAAGTCACCAGTGACCTCAACAGGCGCAGGCGCGGAGGGGTCTACCTGAGAGACACCTGAAGGAGCAGGACCTGGCGCGGGGAGGGGGTCTACCTGGGGAGGACCTGGGGCGAGAAAGAGCGGCGGGGGCGGGCGAGGAGCAGTGCGGTAGGGGAAGAGGCGGTAAAAGGGGACGGACTCGTCAAAGGTGACGTCCTGAGACGCAAAGACACGGCGCGAGGCGGGGTCGTAAAACTGCCAGCCAAGCGCGTCAGGGACAAAGCCAAGGAAGGCGCAAGGAATGGCGCGAGGGGAGAGCTTGTCCGCGGTGGTATCGCGGACAAAGGCACGAGCACCCCAGACCCGGAAACGCGACGCGTCGCCAACCTTCCCCGTCCACAGCAGTGTGGGCGAGGTCTCCGGCAAGGAGACACGGGGCCAAAGGTTGAGCTGATGCGCGGCGTACCGGACCGCAAACGGCCACAGAAAATGGGGGGCAGCCGCATGGATCATGGAGGTACGAGCGACCTCCATGACTAAGCCAATGCGGCGCTCAGCAACCCCATTCTGCTGAGGAGAGGCCGGAAGCGTGAAAGTCTGGCGGATGCCGTACTCCGCACAGAAGGCTGCCAAGAGGTCTGAGGAGAACTCACCGCCTCTGTCAGAGTGCAGACACAGGACAGGAAAGTCCGACTGGAACCGCTCGCGGAGCTGGAGACGAGTAGTGCGGATCCAGGGGATCAAAACATCAGGGACATCCCCCTTGCGCTGCAAGGGGAAGACCGTGGTGTAGTGCGTGTAGTCGTCGACAACCAGCAGGAAGTACCGCTCGTGGCCCTGTCCACGGACGCGGGCTGGGCCCCACACGTCCAGGTGGAGAGTCTGCAGTGGAGCCTCTGTGGGAGGGAACGAGGAGGAGTGAGGAGCAGCGCGCTGCCGCCCCTCGACGCAGGGAATGCAGGGCGGCGCAGGTGAGGGAGGGAGGGGAGGCAGAGACCTGGGAAGCCCAGAAACCAGGAGGCGGGAGTGCATGCTGCGTAGGCGAGGCAGGGAGGGGTGACCAAGGCGGTGGTGCCCCAGGAGAGTGTCGTGCGACAGCCGGCGACACTCACACTGTGTAGCTACCTGAGCAGACGCGTGCAACTGGGGAGACAAAGGGGCGGAGCGTGATGCAGTGGTGAGGGTGTACAGACTGGACCCCGGCGCACGAGCAAACGTGGCCAGGTGGCGACCAGTCTGGGAGCACGTGCAAATCGCCACACGCTGCCGGCCAGGGGTGAAGGTGTCAACCCCCGCATCCTGGAGGACAGCGTTACTCACCAAGTTCGTAGAGAACGAGGGGAGGTGGAGACCAGACAGCTCACCAGACGGGACCGCCGGACACGGAAGCACAGTGGAAGACCGTGCAAGCACTGGGCCCCCAGAGGGGTCAGCCAGTGAGACAGGAACAGGTGCAGGGAGGGGAGTGACTGTGGTACTGTCGCGAAAGAAACAGCGGGAAGCACCTGAGTCAAGTGTAAAGGTGTGCAAAGCCTGTGCAGGCGCAGTACCAAGGGGAGCAGACTCACAAGCACCTAGTGCTGCAGGGGCTATACCAGGGGTTATACCAGGATCCGGCGGCACACACAAGTAGCAGTCACCCTCAGCACTAACAGACAAGGCATACATAGCAGCAAGAATTGCCTCATAGTCAAGATCAAAGATAGGTACATCACGCCTAAGCAAGTCTGCCCAGTTGGGGAACTCAGTAGCATCAGGAAACTTGGCGCGCCAGGCGTTGCTAAGCCGAGCGAAGCAGCGCTGCTCAGTGTGAAAACCTGTGCACTGGCGACCAGCGCGGGGACCTGTGCGGATGATATAGGGGCAGCGACCAGGACCCCCAGAAGCCCCACGCCCGGCATACCAGTCAAGAAGCTGCTGGGAAGTGGGGGTCTGGCGCTGACGCTGATACTGCTGCTGCTGCTGCGGCTGCTGCTGCTGCTACTGCGGCTGCTGCTGGCCCTGACCACCACTGCCACCACCGCTCCCTCCTCCCCCACCTCCGCTGCTGCCGCCTCCACCGCTCCCAGTGCCTCCGCCGCCCCCACCACCACCTCCACCGCCTCCACCCCCACGACCACCCCCACCACCGCCTACACCTCCACCACCTCCACCACCACCACCACCTCCACCCCCACCGCCCCTGCCACCCCTGCCGCCCCTGCCGCTGCGACGCTTCCCACTGGGAGTGGAAGCAGCTCCGACCCCCTCAGCACCAAGGTAGTCGTGAGCAGCAGCTGCGGAGGCGTAGGAGGGGGTGAGAGGGGAGGGGGAGCACCCCTGAAAGAGGGGAGAGCGAGGAGTGCCACGAGCAGCACCTACAGCGAGGATGTTCTTCTCTGCTGCGAGGAGGTGCTTCTCGAAGTCGTCTACAGTGAGAGTAGTGGGGTCTAGTGCTAGGAAGTGGTCCCTGATAGAGCTAAGAGTGTCAGGGAGGCAGGTGACGAGGAAATAGAGAGTGAAGTACATCGGGGGGGGGGGGGGGGGGGGGGGGGGTTGCGGCGCAGAACTCGGCTGAAAGGGCGGCACGAAAGCGAGAGTCAGTAGCGCGCAGGTGAGAAACTAGGTCCTCAGCAGTGGTGAACGAGGAAAGATCGGGGAACAGGTACGGTAGCATGAGTCGACCAATGGCTGCAGTGGCCGGGGAGGAGTAGCGCGCAACTACAGCGTCGTACAGTGTCTGAGCAGTTCTGTGCTGGCTGAAATGCGCTCGCTCAGTAATCGGCAGGTGGTTCCTAATAGCTAGACGTGCAGCAGCATCACGAGTCTACCACTGGGAGCGTTCTAGAGCAGGAGCATCAGCAGCAGGAGCAACAGCAGAGCCAGAGACGTAATCAAACAAGGAAACGCCATCTTTGGCATCAGTCAGAAGGAACAGTTGGAGATCGTCTAACCATACACCGAACTCGATGGGATGACCGTCAGGCTCGAACGCTAGAACGTTAGGCGTCGCCATATTGGCTTAAGGCAGGAGGTAGCAGGCAGCAGGCAGCAGGCAGAGGCAGCAGGCACCAAGTAGGAGGCAGGAGGCAGAGGCAGGAGGCAGGGGCAGCAAGCAGCAGGCAGAGGCAGCAGGCACCAAGTAGGAGGCAGGAGGCAGAGGCAGGAGGCAGGGGCAGCAAGCAGCAAGTAGGAGGCAGGAGGCAGAGGCAGGAGGCAGGGGCAGCAAGCAGCAGGCAGAGGCAGCAGGCACCAAGTAGGAGGCAGGGGGCAGAGGCAGGAGGCAGGGGCAGCAAGCAGCAAGTAGGAGGCAGGAGGCAGAGGCAGGAGGAAGGGGCAGCAGGCAGCAAGTAGGAGGCAGGAGGCAGAGGCAGGAGGCAGGGGCAGCAAGCAGCAAGTAGGAGGCAGGAGGCAGAGGCAGGAGGCAGGGGCAGCAAGCAGCAGGCAGGCGGTAGCAGGCAGCAAGCAGGCAGGCAGGCAGGCGGCAGGCAGTAGGCAGGCAGGCGGCAGCAGGCAGGCAGAAGGCAGGCTGCAGACAGGCGGCAGGCAGGCGGCAAGCAGGCAGGCAGGCAGGCTGTAGGCAGCTAGCAGCAGGCAGGCAGCAGGCAGGCGGCAGCAGGCAGCAATCAGCAGGCAGGCGGCAGGCAGGAGCGGCAGGCAGCAGGCAACAGGCAGGAGCGGCCTGAGGGCTGCATGTGGCGGCTTGCTGCACGAGGCTGCAGGCTGCGCGTGGCTACGGGCAGCGCGCGCGGCCGCAGGCTACACGCGGCGACTGATTTCGCGAGCTGCGGGCTGCTTGCAGCTGCGGGCTGTGCGTGGCTACAGCGTGCGCGGCTGCATTCTACGTGCGGTTTCGGGCTGCGCTGGGCGACGGGCCGCACGTGCGCGGCTGCGGGCTGGTCGCTACGCTACGGGCTACGCTGGGCGACGGGCCGCTCTGGCGTGGCCTAATCAGGTTTCGCACGGGCGGCTTAAGGGGCGCACAAGCGGGGCCGAAACGGGCTACGCGGGCTGCTAAAACGGCGCACGTGGGAAAAAAAAAAAGGACCGTCCGAGGCGCGCGCGGGCAGCCGAGGCGCGCGTAGGCACTAGGTAAGACAGGTAATCGTGGTGGGCCCTAATCGTAGGTCCTAAGGACCTATGCTCTGATACCATGTCATAATCTTACGGGAAAGTGTGTGTCGACTATCGAGGGAAAAGATACAAAGGAGAAACCTAAAGGGTTGTACCCACAGTGAGTACCCCACTAAGCCTAACCAACCTAAAACAAATATACACATATGTTTGACAAGATCAGCCATAAGCGCATTGCTCCAGATACAAGCGCATGCGCCTATCATAGGCCTGCACTTATATCCGGGGTGATACGGTATCCGAACCAAAACCCCTATATTATTGATTAACAAGTGTTCAAGGGTAAACAACATGATTGTTCGAACCTACCATAACAAACATCTGCTGACCTAACTACGGTACTACAAAACCAAAAGGAATCAGACTATTGCACACCACCTACATGGATCTCACAAGTTGAAACTCTAAACCCTGTTAAAAAGGCTGATATATCAATGAAGCGGTGTCACAACAAATCAGGCTAGCTTCTCAGTTCTTAGGAATGTATTCCCAAGGCTTGATGACAACAATGACGATGACGATGATGATGACTATAACGAGGATTACGCCACAACAAATCCACTGCAGAAATGAAAAGGCACACAAAGAAACAGTACAAAGGTGCAAGAGCACAGTGAATCAGGGAAAAAAAAAGAGCAGGGAATACTGTAGCAAGGGCACATTAAACACACACACTAACTACAAAATTATGAACACAGGAAAAAAACCAAGAAAATAGTTAAAAGAAAAGAAGGCACACGAATTGTGGGTGTAGGCATCAGCAGCAGGCAGCAGCACTCACCTTGCGAGTGTTGATTTGCGTCTTGCGTGCTTCCACTAGCTGCTTTGTGCCTTGCTGCACGTGGTCCACTGCTTGCCCCACCTGCAGACGGGAATAGCGATGCGAAGGGAAAGGGTTGGGAGGGGTGTGAGAGTGGCGATGGTGGTGTGTGAGAAAGCAGTGGGTGCTTCCAAATTCCACCAGCTGCGTCGTGCCTTGCTGCACTTGCTGCACGTGGTCCACTGCTTGCCCCGCCTGCAATGAGAAGGCGAGGGTGCGGACGGGAGGTGTGGGGTGGGATAAGTGGTGATGGTAATGGAAAGGCAGAGAGCATCCACACATGCCTTGCTGCGCATGGTCGATTGCTTGCCCAGCTTGCAGAAGGAGGGGAAGGGGAAGGGAGAGGCGGGGAAAAGAGGAGGGAGAAGAAGACAGGATAAAATCTCCATACATGCTTTGTGCCATGATTGTACTGCTGCTTACTACCAGAGTCAACAGAAGTGAACGCCATTCAACGCCAGTCAACGCCAGTCAATGGGGTCCACTCACCTGCACTTCAATGCTGTCCAGCAGCTCGCCCTGCGACTCCACCAGCACTGCTGCTGCCTACCTGAGTCAGGTCAACGCCAGCCAACAGGGTCAACGCACCTGCACTTCGATGTTATCCAGCAGCTCGCCCTGCGACTCCACCAGCACTGCCATATCCATGAAGATCTGATGCAGCTCCAGCAGCTGCTTCTCAATGTCCTGCACTGCAGTGTGCCGCTCCTGAATCTCAGCCAGTGTATCCATCACCTGGAGGCAGACAGAAGACGCGTACATGGCGGAAGGGGAGGGGATGGGGGCGGAAGGGGACGGAAGGGGGTGGGTGGTGAGTTTCCTGAATTTCAGCCAATGTATCCATCACCTGAGCAAGACGGGGGTGAGGGCAGGGGTGAGGGAGGGAGTGAGGGAGGGTGCCACTTAAATACATGCACATCTCAGGAACCTCTTCCAATCCACCTACCTCTGCCTTCAAGTCACATTCCCTCACAGGCCATAAAGGCCTGCTCACTCTGCCTACATCCTCGTTCTCCCGAAACTCAGTAACTGCATTCCCTGCCACTCTCTGCCGTTCTCTGCAACACTCTTCCTCCCTCATTGTCGCCCTGAACTTTCCCCTGGCTTAACCTATTCCCTCATTAAGTCCCGCATCACCCTGCCTCCCCAGTACCTGTCCTCTGCTTCTCTCTCCTGCTGTCTGTCACTCTTTACCGCTCCCAACTAATCTCTACCACTTCTGTCACTCGCTGCTGTCCTCTGCCGCTTTCTCCCTCTCCTTGTTGCCAGTCATTCCTACTCCAATCCCCTACTCCATCACCCCCCCCCACCGTCACCCGCGCCCCTCACTCCCCCCAGCCGTACCTGTCCTCTCCCCTGCTCCTGAATCGCCCTCTGAAAAATCGCCTCGCTCTCCCCATTATCAATAAGCGTGTCAATCGTCTCTGCATCCGCGCGTTGCCCCGTGACTGTGAAATAGCGCCTCTCCACCACGTCACGGTACTCCCGCTGGAACTTGTCCCGCAGCTCCTGCACGAACAGACAGGTACAGTTCGGTACAGGGGGGTACATCCAAGTACAGTATGGTACAGGTGGGTACGGATGGGCAGGGAAGGGATGAGTGAGACGCGTTGCCCCATGACTGTGAAATAACGCCTCTCCACCACGACACGGTACTTCCGCTGGGACTTGTCCCTTGCTCCTGCATGATAGAGGCAGGAACAGTTCAGTACAAAAGGGTATAGTACGGCACAAATGCGCACATACAGATTGGTCGGGCAGGTGAGACGTGAGTGGAGAGAGGAGCGGGGCGAGGAGAGAAATGAGGGGAGAAAATAGAGGAGATGTGAAAGCTGAGAGCGGAGAGGGAGCGATGGTACTGGTCATGTGAGAGGGCGTGGTTGAAGATAGCATATTTACAAAATGAGAGGTGCGAGGGGGGAATGGAGAACGGAGAACGGAGATCGGAGAGGGGAGAAAGGAGAGTGCGATAGGGGAGAAGGGCGAGCGCCGCACCTGGAACTCGTTCATGAGCGCTTTCAGCTTGTTGGACAGGGTGGTGGTGATGGTCATTCGTTGCCGGTCTGTGGCGGAGCCCTTTTCGCACCCTGGCACCTTGCGGCTCTCCTCGTTCTGCTTGTAACGAGTCACGCACAAACGAGGGGCGCACAGGCGAGGGGCAAGCAAATATGAAAACATGGGCAAAAGACGCACAGACCGATGCACAAATGGATATCAGGCATGGAGGAAAGATCACAGACTCTATCTGGAAGAAAGTTCCAATTGGCCTGACACATTCAGACAGAAAGAAAGCGAACGGTGCGGGACAAAGTAAAGAGAGCCAAAGTGCGCGTCAACGCGAAGAGAAAAGGATGAAAGAGAGGGAGAGTTCGAAGGTCACAAGACTGCACAACTCACAGCTTTGTTAAGAGCTTCAATCTTGCGCTTGATTCCCTGTGCTATCTTCAGCACTTGGTCGATATCCCCCTCCATGCGCTCCTTTATAGCTGCACGCACAGCCATTCCGCACAGGCATTAGTTCAAGGCACAGCCATTTCGCACAGAAAATATTTAGCAGCACAGCCATCCCGCACAGTAATTATCCTATAGCACAGACGTTCCACACAGGCATGGCATATAAAAGCCGTGTTTGATCCCCTGAGCTATCTCCGGCACCTAATTGCTGTTCCCCTCAATGCGCCCCTTTGAAGGTCGCACACGCCGCGCGCAGTTCTCACACGCCGCGCGCAGTTCTCACATGCCACAGGCAACTGTCGCATGCAACTCGCACGAGCGCGTGTGCGTAGAAACTCATTCGCTCTCCTCGCAACGCAAAAGACGGCTGCACGTCTGATGCGCCTATCTTGCCCGTCGTTCTCGCACCTTCCACCCCACTCCATCCATCAGGCACCTTTCATGGCTGACGCTCGCGTGACTCGTTTGCTCTCCTCGTGTGCGTCCTGCAGTCGCGTTAGCTTGCCTCTCATCTGATCCATGCTCTCGTTGATGTCTTTCACCTGCAACGTGTCACGTGTCATGGCGGCATCCAAACGCCACGCAAGAGTGAAAAAAGGTGAAAAAAAGGATTAAAAAAAAAGCAACGAGTTGGAGAGCAAAGGGATGGAAAACAAACGTCACAGAGAAATTGGGTCAACAAACATGATTGTCATGTCACAAGTCTTAAGAAGCGATATGACAGAGCACAGGGCGAGGGCATGTCCAACAAGCAACGCATGCGCGTTGAAAGCAGCCTCGTTGAACGGATATACCTCGCGATGGAACTCTTCCATGCGCTGATCCATCTCCCCCGGTTCTTCCACCCCACCGACCTCCAAGTCCACCTCATCCGTGCTCGAACGGCGCGGAGGGCTCGCGCCCTGGGAAGCAACACCACGACAGGGAAAAATATATGTACGATGAATATGTACAGTGACGAAACGGTTTTCCAGTCCACGTCCTCCATGCTCAGGCGACGGGGGGGCTCGTGCTATACGGGAGCAGAAGCACGCCTGGTAAAGTGATGCTTGAGGGAGTTTATATTCGAGAATATAAGGGGAGGCAGAAGCAAAGGTGATTTGAAAGAAAAAGCGGCTTGAAGGAGCGGTTTAAAGAGACTTTTCGGCGAAACCGGACTAAAAAAAAATGGCGGTGCTAACTCGCGGATAAAAAATGATTATGGGAAGGAGGGACATGAAGCGCTTGGAGCAGCTGTAAAATACGGAAAGCGGTGCAGTGCGATGAAATACAGTGCGGTGCAGATCTGCTAGCGGGAAGATGGAACAGAGAGGAAACCGGCGGGTAGGCGAAGACGCTAGAAAGAAGACGTGGGAACACAGGGGCGAGATAAGGAAGATTGCCGCAAAAAATTGGCAGCAGGGGCAATTGTTGCAAAAAATGGCACTCTGGGCTAAACCCGCAAAAAGGAACAGTGGGGACTCATACCCCGAAAAAAAAAAGGCACTCGCGCCGCAAAAAAAAAACAAAAGGGTAGCATAGCTGCAGGAGCACGAGGCATTTGATGCGGACGCAGAGGACGCATACTACAGTTATGCTAGCTAAGGCAGACTCGTCTCCTAGTCACAATCGACTAGGTTCTGACTGCTGCTAGTATCATCGGCCATGGCAAGGGTCTTGCCGGCCGCTGCTGATTGCAACACTGCAGGGATAAGCGATAGCGTAACAGCTCAGATAGAGTAAAATCACGCACCCATAACAAATCGTTCATGGTGTCGCTGCTCCTTTTTTTTTAAGAACCAGCAGGGTCAAGGAAGTGGATGCAGGCACTGGTGCGTGTCAATTCAACACGCAACAGAGACTTGGAGTGTAGATCGGTTCCTGGTTCAACGGGAATGAAACTCGGCTAATCCTGTTCGTAGGCTAATATCTAATGCAGCTGAACAACGAGTCGGAGAGGGCGATGTCAGGCAGAACCTAGGAAGCTCTTGGGTGAGTCCTGTCTCGCAATTTCCAAACACGGAAAGCGGCGAGGTGACAAGATGAGCTGTTGTCGAGGGGGAGGCAAACTGAAAAGGATCAATCGAGAGCGGCGGAGTAAGGGGGTATCATTCTCGAGGCTCGCTGTAAAACTTACCTCGAGGTTGCTTTCTCTTGGGTTTGCTTCTTTTCGTGCCTCGCGGTCTCTGACCGGACCGAATCGGACCTCACTGACGAGGAGGACAACCCCAGCCCAACCAGAACCACACGGCACGCCATTGCTCTGCTCTGCATGGTAGGTTGGGAGGGAGTGCTTCCAGAAAAAGAAAACAGTAAATTCAAGAACAGAAAGTTTGGGGGCCTGAACTTTTCTGATTGTGGTATAGCTTGTTACTTTTGGGTGGCAGTTTTAACCTTACTAAGCAACCCAGATTATAATAATGGGCAGATTTATTTCGCGGACGTATACACCCACTCTCCTCAGTGCTGTTTTATTTCTGCCCATCGAAATTCTGTCTGACAAACAAGAATAAGCCGTTGTGCTTCTCGGGGACTCCTGCACTCCTGGTTGGTGATGAACTTCCAGCCGTTGACACACACTCCCGTTGTCCTCGCGCCAACTCCGAGGCGCTGCTTGACAGTGCGCGTGATATACGCGTTTGAGTAAGAAACAGACAAATACCGTCATTTACGCATGTCGTGTTTACGTGTGTACTTGCAAGGACACCCATATCTCTCAAATACTTAGCACCCCTTTAGACTAGTTTGACAATTTAGGACATTGTAGCACATTCAATAATCTTAGCAATTCATAAGACGAATATGATTTCACGTTTTTTTTATATACTGGATTTGTCCTTCAAAGTTACATACAAGCGACTTAAAATATGCTATGAAGTGAGTGTCGAGAGGATTGTGTGGGTAAGGAGGAACAAGGAGATACAAGTGTCGACCTAAAGTGTTGTACCCTTTAGAGGGCAATTCACTGTAGCCTATCTAACAATATATGGAGGATATGAACATTTGACACACCCCCATAGGCTAAGTTAGGGGCATCAAAGCAAGCAAGGTGAACAGATGGTCACAAGACCAGTCAACACAAGAAGCAAAGCAAGCTCAGGGTGGATCTCAAGGACACCACACAAATTCCGAGCACAAAGCAAGCGGTCACAAGGCCAGTTTAAGAGTTCACTAGTGTTGGAATAACCTAAAGGTTACAGTAACCTTCCCGAAGGCTCTCCACTCGCGCGTCACTCCATAACGAAGCTACGCGCCTGTATCATTATCGCAATAGCTCATATAGAGCATGCGGAAGGTCGAGGGACACCCGAAAGGTCAACATTCGAAGACAGTCAACGGTCGTGACCCTTGACTGCCCAGTAACCGCACTTGGAAGTTACGCGTTGCAACACGGTAACTATCAAGATTAGCAATAGTCGTGGTTACTGTAGCAATGCAATTCAGTTAATAAGGGAATGTACCCCTCAGAGTACATGGCTAGCTAGGAAAGCTATTTATATCCTTGTACCACTATCCTTTAATCATCTTGTTCTCTTTCAACTTACTAACAAGGTCATTACAAAGACTTCATTGTCTTCTCTCAGAATTGACAGACTTATCCTATCCACTACGATCCTTCACTTATAAGAACAAGCAGGATATATAGAAAAGCAAAACAAATAGAGAAAACAACAAGGCTACAGCAGTCCAGGGCCTACCTTAACAAGCCCCAACTGCCCACAGAACGAGTGGTGGTCACCAGGCGCCAAGACCTTGGTGAAGACGTCGGCAGTGTTGGCCTCTAAGGCCACAAAGTCCAAGCGTGCCTGGCCACGTCGCTGCAACTCTCGCAAGAGGAAGTACCTCACGCCAATATGCTTCACTCTGATCTCCGCTCGAGGCTCTCGACACAGGAGGATCATGGCCTTGTTGTCAGCGTACAAGGTCGGTGCAGACCGAGGCCGCTCGCCAAGGTCGGCGAGCAAGAAGGTCAACCAGCAAAGCTTTTGTGCCGCCATGGCACCAGCGTAGTGTTAGAATAAGTGACGAGAATGAATGACTAGGAAAGGGGGAGGGGTACAAGTAGAATGTCGAGAGAAATTATGTACCCCCTAAGGCTAAACCCACTATAGCCAAGACAACTGTAAACACATAAACTAAGCCTAGATATAACTAAGCATATATGTTTAACACACCCCCATAGGCGAAGTGGGGGATAGCCAGAACAAGCAATGGTCACAAGACCAGTCAAGAGAAGAAGCAAAGCAAAGCACGCTCAGGGTGGATCACAAAGTCACCACACAGTCCAAGCACAAGCAAAGGGCCACAAGGCCAGTTCACATGCAGAGTTATATAAAGAGAACAAACAATACAGTGATCATACCCTAACAAGTGCAAGCATGCAGGTATATAGATAGATCACAGTACAGGCAGAGTCAGGCAGTAAGTAAGTGAGGCAAAGTAGGCACAAGGCCTAACACAGTAACAAAGCGCTGATGGTCACCAGGCGGAAGTGCCTTGGTGAAGACATCAGCAGTGTTGGCCCGAGTGGCCACGTACGCTAGACGAAGCTGACCACGCTGCTGCAACTCTCGAGCAAGGAAGTATTGCAGAGCGATGTGCTTCGTTCTGTGCTCCAGTCTGTGCTCCTGACACAAGGCTATCATGGCCTTGTTGTCTACGTACAGGACTGGAGGCGAACGAGGCTGCTCTCCCAAGTCGGTCAGCAAGTAGGTGAGCCAGCATAGCTCCTGAGAAGCCATGGCTCCGGCGTAGATCTCAGCCTCACAGCTGGAGCTGAGAACTGAAGATGAGCGGGTAGACCGCCAAGAAACCGAGCCGGACCCAAGGCTGAAGGTGTAACCCTGCGACGACCGCTGCGTAGCTGAGTCGTCAACCCAGGAGGCGTCTGCGTGACCAGTGAGGACAACAGGAACCCGTCCTCCAAGCACAAGCCCCATGCCCGACGTACTGCACAGGTAACGCAGTACCCTCTTCGCAGCATCCCAGTGCACCTTTCGGTGCCTACCGGGAGCCACGTAGCGAGCCAGAAGGCTGAGATGGTACGCGAGGTCAGGTCGTGTGCAAGTCATGAGGTACATGAGGCAACCCACAAGCTCTGGGTACGGACCACTCGGCTCTACGGACTCGTCCGAAGGTGGAGCTGAGAGCGAGTGGCTGGTAGACAGAGGAGCGAGCTGTGGCGAGGAGTACTGGAAGCCAAAGCGCTGAAGGACCTGGTGCACCATGTGTGACTGAGTCAGTGTGATGGTGCGCCGTGCTCTGTCCCGGGTGATCTGCAGGCCAAGATAGCTGCGCAGTTTACCCAGGTCAGTGCAGGTATGTCTCTTCTGCAGCTCGTACTTCTCTAGGGTCAGTGCCTCAGTGTCAGCCGTGGCAAAGACGAGGTCGTCGACGTACACTAGGACGTAGAAGGGCGGCAGCGAGGTGTCGGTGCGTAGAAACAGCGACGGGTCTGCTGTAGAAGGAACAAACCCAAGAGCCGCAAGTGTAGTCCTGAGTGTGTTGTGTCACTCGCGAGGTGCCTGGCGGAGACCATAGACTGGCCGGCGGAGGCTCCACTGGGTACCTGTAGGAAACAACCCAGTGAAACCAGGTGGTCGGCGCAGCCAGATCTCCTCGTGCAGGCTGCCCTGCAGGAAGGCTGTACTGAAGTCCAGGGAGTGTAACTCGTAGTCACGCTGAGCAGCTACGTGCAGCAACACCTGAAGAGTAGTCATCTTCGGGGTGGGGGAGAAGGTCCGGAAGTATTCAACTCCCTGTCGCTGACTGAAACCTCGAGCAACGTAACGCGCCTTGAAGGCAGGCGGAGAACCCGGCGGCCGCTTCACCCTGAAGATCCACATGCCATCGACTATGTTCACCCCAGGTGGGGGAACCTCGTCGACGTAAGTGCCTGTGGACTTCCAGGATGCCATCTCGGCATCCATAGCTGCCTGCCACTGAGAGGAGTAAGGACCCGTAATCGCCTCTGCGTAAGAGCGCGGGGTCGGGATGTCTGGAGCATCCGGGTCTCCCTCAGGGGCAAGCAGCAAGGAAGCGAAACGAGGTACAGCAGCTGCAAGACACTCAAAGTCCTCCTGCCTGTCCTCAAGGACGTCCGTGCCAAGAGCACACTCACCCCCGACGGACGGAGGACTGACAGACACAGACTCAGCAACTAGAGCAGAGGCGTAGTCTAGACGGCAGGCAGCAGCAAAGTCAAGCAGCTCAGCAACGAGAGCAGAAGCAGCAGCAGAATCAAAGGAAGGGTCAGTGACAGCAGTGGCAAGGAGACGAGCGACGGTGGGACTGGCAGCACGCGCTCGGTCAGACTCAGGGTCAGGGGCCTCAGGAAGAGAGGACTCAGGAGGAGCAGGCAGAGGAACAAGCAGTGGAACAGAGGAAGGACGGAGTGCCATAGTGTGCGTGCCTGGGACCGGAGGAGGACGCGAACGAGGAGCGCGACGAGCAGCGCGAACAAGCGAGACAGGACGAGACGCAAGCTCACGACGTTTGTAAGACCTCCAGACTGCTCAGTGTAAGGAGAGGGAACAGGCAGTGGGGAGGCTGGCTGTAACGGCGGCTGCGACTGGTCAGGCGGTGGACAGAGGAAGGGAGGAGGAAGACCAGTAGAAGACGGGACACCAAGAACCTGCTAAAGTAGGGGAACGAAGTACGGGCGCGGCCGCACAGTGCCTCCAGCACCTCCAGCTCCAGGGTCAACAGCTCCAGCTCCTGCAGCTCCAGCGCCTCCTGCGCTAGGGCCTCCAAATCCAGCTACACCAGCTC